ATTTAATTTCATAAAAAAATTATAATATATTTCTGGAGGGGCCTGATGGCTGAGTGACTGGTACTGACTGACTGACACACTGAGTGACTGACCGAGTAACATTACTCGACACTTTGGCACTCGGTGCCGCAGGGTTCGAGTCCCGGCTCTGCTATGGATGCTTGTAATGGTTCGGAATCCACTTTAAACCTTAGGTCTCGATCCAATATCACTGCCAGTAAGCAGACGGCTTTGACCCACCATGGGGCTGTTGCACCAATGAAGAAGAAGAAGAAATTTCTGGAGTTTTCAATAATTTTTAAATGTTGTTTTTTAATGCTGATGCATTTTCCAACTCATGTTCGTAAAATAAGTTAATTGTAATGTAACATTACAAAGTACATCCTGCAAACAACAGGAAATGTGGAACTTGTTTAAGCATTTTAATCTGTTTAATTTTTAATGGTGATATACACATTAGTGTCAACTAAGTCAGAATTAAGATATAGAGTAAGTTGTTTTAATAATTGGGCCTGATGATAGTGTGGCTAGCACTCTGTGGCACAGATTTCGGTTTCGAGTCCCAGCGAATGCTTGTAGTGGTTCGGAATCCACTTTATACGGTAGGCCCCAATCTAATATGAATGTTGCGCGTAGGGCTGACAACCTTTCCCTGTAAAAAGAAACCCTCTCCTACCTCGAAATCTGCCAGTAGATAGACGGCCATGATCCAATATGGACTATAGTGCCCAGGAGTTCAATAATTCTGCTGTATATTATGTTACTTTTGATACATAAAAAAACTAAATGAATTATTATCATTTAAAAGGATTGATTATCAACTTTAAATAAATACTAGAACACAAACTAAAACTAAAACTAAATAAAAACCTTTAAAGCTGATATGAAATATTTAATTTTAAAATGAATAATAGAAGATATTAGAAACAAATTTAAGAAACATTCAATGATTGATATTTATTTTTAGTCTTCCATTATTATATTTTAAAATTTTCTTTTTGTTTTTATCATCAACTACTTTTACAATGCATACAATGCATTTTTTGTCAGAATTCAATCCAAGTTTGCAAGAAAAGGAATTATCTTCACTTATTCTTATTGTTTAACTGTATCTGGAACGTAAATCAATAAGACGAAGACCTACCACACTTAAAGGATAGGGTGAGGAAAAAACATTCTTTTCCCTTACCTTCAAGCATTGAAAACGGATACTCAGCTGAGTCGACCGATATAACATTTATTGAGTTTTCGTCAGCACAAATGATAAAATTTTTTTTAAAGTAAATAAATAGATAAAACCGTGTCATGTTTCCTTTTTAAAGAGTCAGGTTTACGCAGAAATTTTATTCCCGATTTCTTATAATGATTGCTTTTTATTTTTTGAAAAACTATAATATTAATAAGTTGTTATTTCAAAATGAGACTAATTGCAGCCAAACAATTTTAAGTGTACTTTTAAAACACCATTTTCATAATGTAATTAGCAAGCTCGTCATTTGAACTTTAATCTCATTTATGAAATCGAATATCCAAATAACCAGCAATTGTAAGTGGTGAAAAAAACAGCAACTGGCCATTTTTACAAGAATAAAATTTATACATACTAATTTCGATATGAAACAGTTTTTGCTTAAATACAGCAGTTTGTTTCATACCCAAAAAAGTTTAAATTATATTCCACTGTTCACTTGAACTGCAAAAGATGGTAATTATGATGAAAGGAACATTTATTTCTCAGCCTATTAGTGCTTTACTGTATAATTAACGTTAATCTTTACTAAAATTAATAATTAACAGTAATTTACTGAAATTAATTTTAACCTTTTGATTAAACCTGAATTGTAACCTTTAAAAATAGGATCAAAATATTCTGCATACATAAAAATGGGACAAAAAAAAATATAAATTACAAATAAAATAAATTTAAATTCACAGTTATTTTACTAATAATAAACGCTAAAAATAAATAACACAAAATATAGGTTTATAATTCAAGAAGAAATAGGACTTTTGGGATATGTGAAGTTTAATGTAAATTAAATGATTGTATATTGGGGAATATATATGTTAATAAAATGCCAATTATTTAAAAAATAATATTACAATTATTATATTCTTCATGCATTTTTATTGATAATATAATTATATTAAAACCTTATTTTCTAAACCTAATATTAATGTTATTATAATTAATTTAATAAACCTTATATTAGCATAATTATAATTATATTAATATAAGGTTTATTATATTAATTATATTATTAAATACTTATAATAAACTTTTCAAAACTTTAGTCATTACAATTTAAGCTCAATTTTCTGAATATATAAAATATTATTGTGTAGCTATAAAATAACAATTTTAAGACATTATATTTTTATTTTTAGTTGACGTGTGAATTATTTTTTATGATTATTTTATTATTAATAATGTCTTAATAACAGCTTATGCTTTAAAAGTTACATGCAAATTTAATTTATTCGCACTTTAATTATTAATTTGTTATTAAATTAATAAAGAATATTATTCGCTGTAGATGCAGTTAATTAAAAATTAAGATTATTACAAAATTGAAACTTTTATGGTTTATAACGCGATTCCATAAAAAAATGGACTCACTAAATATCACTAAAATATCTATTTAAAAATTCAATGCGTAATGATTATAGAAAATTATAATTAAAAAAGTTAATTGAGTTAATGAAAAAAATTTCATTTGAACTGTTCAATTAACACATTTTTATATTCAAGGATACATTTCAAACTGCAATTAATAAATACAAATTTTCAGCCTAAAATCTTTGTTAATAAATAAAGTTGTCATTTTTCTGAAGTTCAATTTAAGTAAAATTTTATAGACTTGTTAAAAATTGTCTTAAAATCAGATATTCAATTTTATTTTAATAATTATACTGTATATTATACTACATCAATTAAATAATGTATCAATTATTATAATGTATCAATTAAAAGATACTAACGTTTCAGTTATACTCTTAATTTAATTACTGAATTTTTTTTTCTTTATTAATTTACTACTTCCATTTTCCTATGGATAATAATTATTAAAGTTATTGTATATATATTTTTATCTATTAAAAAAATTGCGTTAATAATTTTTTTATTAGCATATACAGTTCTTTAAATTGTTTTTTTCATTTTCTTTGTTAAATTGATATGCTGCAATTCTGTCGAACCCTAGTTCAACTGTTCTAGCACTGTCTAACACCCCAAGATCTGTCCTTGGATCCGAAACATTGGAGACCTTCTAAAGACTTTATATATAGGATGTCCCTACAGTTAATTACACACTGCGACGTGCTGAGAAATGAAAAATCAGATATTTTGGAAACCACGGATACTGCTTATTACACAGAGAGCCACTGAATTTTGCAAGAATTTCTGAAGTTAAACAATAAGAATAAGTGAAGATAATTCCTTTTCTTGCAAATCTTGGATTGAATTCTGACAAAAAAAAATGCATTGAATGCATTGTAAAAGTAGTTGACAATAAAAAAAGAAAATTTTAAAATACAATAACGGAAGACTAAAAATAAATATCAATCTTTGAATATTTCTTAAATTTGTTTCTAATATCTTCTATTATTCATTTTAAAATTACTATTTCATAGCAGCTTGAATGTTTTTTATTCAATTTTTGTTTTGATTTGTTTTCAATCTAGTATTTTTTTTAAGTTGATAATCAATCCTTTTAAATGATAATTATTCATTTATTTTTTATGTACCAAAAGTAACGTAATATATAGTAAAATTATTGAAATAAAACTAATTCCCTGACACTACAGTTCATGTTTGACTATGGATATCACTACTGACAGATTACTATGACTACTGGCAGATTTCGAGTCAGCGAGGGCAAGGGGCCCGTAACCTTCACAAGTCATTCACTTAACTTAATTGTTAATTTGGTTATTTAAAATACCGATTTGCGCGAAATGTCCAAATGATCATCTTGTGACTTTAAATATTCTAGTGAGGATTTGATATACAGTTTACGCCAACAGTATGCTGTCGAGTTGAGTCCAAGAACGATGGTTTATTGAAATCTCCCAGTACTTTTCGAAAAAAAAAAAACGAAAACCATTTTATTTGGGAGGTGACTCACTATACCAGCTACATAGGTTCTGTTTGGTTTTGTATTCAGGGTAAGTGATGCAGTGATTGCTGAGGTTATACTTCTAGAATTTGCTATTTCTTGACGTTTGTAAGTTGCTTTCATTTCAAATAACGCCATGCATAGTGTGAATAATCTTTTGGGGCAAAAAACGGGTACATAGTGGTGGGGCGAATCCAGATGCTAAAATTAAATTTGCTGTCAAAAGAACGACATTGAATGCCTTTGACTGATTATGATGAAAATGATGATGAGTAATGCATGCATTGCGACGTTATCTGACGTTCTACTAAAGATGGCTAGTTTTTTTGGGGTTTTTTTGCATCGTTTGAAAAGATTTCGCCTTAGATTCCTACGACGAATTTGACTATTATGGTGAATACGAATTTGTTTCCAAGTTACGCAGAATACTGACTCTCAAAATCAGTATGAATTATGAACAACAAACCTTCAATTATGCCCTTGTATAGCATTTCTGTGTTAAATTTTTTATGGTAAATTACGCTTTAAGCTTCACATTCAATTTTACATTACGGTAATAATCTCAGAAATGAATTCCCAAGACGATTCTGAAAAAAAAAATTTTTTCTTAAAACTCGAACACCTTTAAAGCACAAGTTGTGTAAAATTTTAAAGACAGAAAAATAAATATGTCTAGATGAAACGCTTAGGAATTATTTTGCTGTTCATAATAGAATTCATTCAAAACCGAAGCATTAAAATTTTAATCAAGTCAAATATTTTTAAAAGGGTTTAAATTTTATGGGATCATTTTCTGCTTCTTTATTGTGTAAATAACATGAAATTAAATTTTCCCTCCCCCCCCCCCCAAAAAAAAAGAAACAATTTAGAAAAAGGTTGGAGTCCAGGGTGGCCGAATGGTTATGGCATCAAACTTCAATGTCCTTCATGTGTCTCCTGGTAAGTAGTTGTTCAAGGCTTTACGTCATTATATTATAATCCTCACTTCCCTGTTTAGATAACGAAAAAAAAAAAAAAAAACAAAATAAGCCTTAGATATAGTTGAAAAATCCAACGAATGTTTGGTAACTGTAAAATCCGTTTATATTCGGTAATATCGCGCAACTTGGAAATAGGGGTACTTGTGAAATGTTATTGATTATTTCGTCAAGTGTACCAAATACTACTGGGAGTCACATGGCGTGGATATCTGATTCACTTTTCTAAGTGAGTGCAGGTTCGAATCCTGCTCCAGGACTGTTGTTTATGTAAAAGGAAAATTGGTGTTTAGACTCATATATAATTTTCAATTTTGGAAAAATCTTATGCCTTGTCGAAATATGTATAGATTGTACTTTTGCTGATCCTATGCTGTTGATTTCTATTAAGCTGGTTAATCCATTAAGCTGCTTCCCATTTTTATAAAATCTTAATGTTTCCTGCTTAGTTAGACAATTTCTATAACAGAGCTTTTGCATTCAATAACCGTCTTATTGTTATTACCATCCATTTTATTTATTGATTTAATAAATATTTCGTCAAAAATGCGCCAAATTGCCTTGCAAATAATCCTTTTTCCGTAATCTAATTACGGGTTTAACCACTGGATGACGCATACGGCAAATAATAGATTCAGAAAGAAAAAATTGGATTACTGTATATTTTAAAACGTGAAATAAATTAAGAAAGTTTATAATTCTAAAGAATGCAAACACACATTCTTGTTTCATAAAAACAAAATTAATAGAGTTTTCACAACGAAGAACATGTTAAGAGGAAAGACAATTTCACTTATTATTCACTCAATTTCTCTCATAATAATATTTTTATTTTAATCTAATAGTACAAAAATCTGTTAAAATCAAATCGTGTAATACTGTTAGTATTATAGAAACACAATTTTTGCTGTAGGAAAGTCAGAAGTTGTACACAAACACCAATACAATGCTTCTTTGTCAACTTGAGTTTACAATCTTACTAGCCAACCCAGGAGAATACTGAAGTTCCTAATATAGTGAGGAATCAACTTGAAAATATATATTTTTTTTAAATTTTACGGATTTCTCCTTTGATCTTCAGCTCCATACAGTCATCGAATTGATACCTGTCACTAATTATTTATTTTCATTTTCTGTCAATTTTATTCTATTATTCTGAAATTATTCAAGTGTAAAAATTAAAAAATATATATATATGGTGGCCCGCATAGAAATCAGTTATTTAGAATACGATGAATCTGGAAAGCTAGAATGAAGAGTTTTGAATGTCTAGTATCAATAATTAGACTGCTTGTGGTAGGTTTCTCTGTTTTATTCGATATGATACGACAATATTCTCAGAACTCAAATTCCGAGATAATTTTCTGTGCAACTAACAGATTTTTGCCTATGGCCGATTAGTTAGCATATTCTAATATTTGTCCTGTACCTTTTACTTAATGATTATTCAACTTTTTGCGAAACAGCTTACCTACTTCGACTTTTAAATAGGTCGTAATAACAAAGAATGTAACAAAGGTTTGAAATAGAAAAATTATGATACTTCTATTTTAAATTATTTTGTAGCTTACCTTTATAGAAACTCCAGCAAAAAAATTAGACTTTCTCATGAAACTCGAAAATGTTTCAAGCATAAAGAAAGTAAAATTGTAATCAGAAAAATTAATATGCCTAAATATAATGTCTGGAAGTAATTTGCAGCTGATAGTAGAATTCCTTCAAAATTGGGGCATTAAAATTTTTCTTAGATCAAACATTTTTAAAAGGATTTAAATTTCGTGTAATAATTTTCTAAATTTTCCGTTTCTGCATAGTGTAAAGAAAATATAAAATAAAATCAAAATAGAAATGCTATTTAGAAGAAAGGCTTTGTCCTGGATGGCCGAGTGGTTATGGCATCAGACTTCAATACCCTTAATGTGGCTCCTGTCAAGTCGTTGATCAGTCTTTACGCCATATTATGATGCTAACATTGCCCAATTATAACAACAAAACAAATAACAAAAAAAAAAAATAATAATAATTGAAGAATCCAATGAAAAGCTGGTAACTGTTAAATCCGTCTATTCTCGGTAATATTCTACAAACTGAACACTGATGAATAAGGATACTTGCTAAATGTGATGGATTAGTCCATCATGCGTTTAATGGTCTCCTAGAAATTGATGGGAGTTACGTAACGTGGGTATCTGATTCGCTTCTTGAAGTGAGCGTAGGTTCGAATCCTGCTCCAGGAATGTCGTATAATAACTTTTATGAAAAAGAAAAAATGATTTTTATTAGACTCATTTCAAATTTTGGAAAAACTTTAGCCTCTGAACAATTATCTATAGAGTACTTTAAACACGTAATTCTATTACGTCCTGTTTTTATGGAAATCTTAAAAGTCTCTGTAATGACTTGATCTCTTTTTATGTGTCTTGTGCCTATTCGACCCAAACTTGCCATATGTACCTGAATCGAGTTTCAGTGGCCTACAGATGGGTTAAGTTTCGAATTATACGCCACGATGTGCTTATATCACTGCATTTGAAAGCAAAAGGACTCAAAGGCAATTGTGACAGTTTGTGCATACATCTTGCATCAACAATCAAGATGTTAGTGGGCTTTGACTTGGTATTTTTGTACACTACATGTAGGAGTAAACCGCATAGATTATTAACAAAGCACGAAAATCGTTTCCTTTTTTATTAATATATTTCTCTAATAATTTCTTATTACCTTTCAATAAATTTACGAAGACATAGTCTATATTTAGAATAAGAGAAATAAATAAGTTTTATTAAAAATTAATTTAAATAATCTAAAAAATACTCTTCAAAGATATGAAAGGCAAACCTGAAATTATAATTTTTTTTTTCAATTAGAAAGATGAAATAGTATGTATCCTTGTTTATTATTTGCGTTTTAAATTCTTCATGATAAATTGCTCTATATGCTTGACAATACGGTGACATTCTCAGAATTCAAATTCTGGATTAAATCAAACATATAAAAGCTTTCAATTTTTGTGAAATAATTTTCTTTAGTGCATAAAAAACAGGAAATTAAAGTGTCCCTCCCAAACAAAAGCAATTTAGAACGCCGTTTCTCCATGATGGTCGAGTGGCTGTGGTGTCAGACTTCAATGCAGTTCGTGTGCCTTCTGTTGTGCACATGTCGATACTATAGGACATTATAACGCATTCAACTAACGAAACAAAAATTAAATCATTATAAGCATAAAGTATAGTTTAAAAGTCTATTTAAAGAGTGGTAACTGTTGTTCCGCTTATTCTCGGTAATATTTAGCAACCTGAACACAGGGCAACAGAGATACTTAAGTAATGTGAATGATTATTTCGTTAAGTGTTTAAAAGTGTCCCAAACAGTGATGGGAATCGCATGGCATGGTTATCTGATGCACTTCTCAAAGTGAGCGCAGGTTCGAATCCTGTTCCAGGACTGCATTTTGTTTTTGTTGATATAAAGGTAAACTGGTTCTTAGACTCATATAAAATTTTCAATTTTGGAAAACTCTTATTCACTGTCGGAATACGTACAGATTGCTTTAAACAAGAAATGATATTACGTCATGTTTTTATGTAACGGTTACATTTCTTTGTATCATTTGCTCTCTTTTGATTTTTTTCCTATACCTTTCTGATCCACACTTATCAAATGTGCCTGACTCTAGTCTGATTAGCTAATATATGGCTTCAGTTTAGAATGCGATGGCATCATATCTTACGCCGTATGGCCGCAACACCGTATGGCCGCAACAAACAAACGTGACAAATTCTAGATCATTCATAAGTGCCAGAAAGCAACTTGCTCGATCGAATTTTATGGTAAGAAGACAAGAAGATGACCACCATGACAATTATTTTTAGGAACTAAGAATTGTCTAATGTCTATTGAATAGCATTAAAATTTTTCTTAAATCAAACATTTTTAAAAGCATTTAAATTTTGTGTAATAATTTTCTAAATTTTCCGTTTCTTTGCATTATAAAAAATATAAAATAAAATCAAAAGAGAAATACAATTTAGAACCGGGATATCGTCCTGGATGGCCGAGTGGTTATGACATCAATCCCATTAACGTGGTTCCTGTTAAATCGTTGTTCAGTCTTTAAGCCATATTATGATTCAGGCAGAGCAAACCCAAGTCAAATAAGAACAATAAAACAGAACAAAAAGCATTCAGGTGTAGTTAAAGAATCCAGTGAAAGGCTGGTAACTGTTGAATCCGTTTATTACCGGTAATACCGTACAAACTGAACGCTGATGAATAGGGATACTGTCTAAATGTGATGGATTAGTTCATAATGTATTTCAAAGTGTCCCAGAAACTGATGGGAAATACGTAACGTGGGCATCTGGTTCACTTCTCGAAGTGAGCGCAGGTTCGAATCCTACCCTAGGACTGTCGTTTAGTAGCTTTTGTGAAAAAGAGAAAAGTTATGTTTAGACATATTTCAAATTTTGAAATTTTTTTTATCCTCTGAACAATTAACTACAGAGTACTTTAAACTAGAAACTATGTTACGTCCTGTTTTTATGCAAATCTTAAAAGTCTCTGTAATGACTTGAGCTGTTTTTTTTTTTTATTTTGCCTATTTGGCCCAAACTTGCCAAATGTACCTGAATCGAGTTTAGTGGCTTACAGAACGCGTAAGTTTTAAACTGTATGGTACCATGTATTTATATAACTGTCTTTGGAAGCAAAAAGGTATGAGGTGAATTGTGACAGTTTTTGCAATCATCTTGCATCAACAAATAAGCTATTGGTTGACTTAGACTTATTATTTTCGTGCACGGCATGTAGCAGAAAATCACATATATTATTAACAAGGCACAAAAATCATTCCCTGTTTTATTAATAAATTTCTTATCACATTTCAATAAGTTTATGAAGGCATAGCCTACATTTAAGAATAATAAAAATAAATAAGTTTTATTAAAATATACATAATCGCCTTGAAAACTATAATGCAATGTTTTTAAAATACTCTTCAGATGTATGAAAGGACGACCTTACATTATGATTTTTTTAGTTAGAACGATGAAATATGGGTCCTTCCTTAGAATTTGTGTGTTAAATTCTTTATGATAAATTGTGCTGTATACTTTACAATCAATTTTACAATACGGCAATATTCTCAGAATTCAAATTCTGAGATGATTTCGACAAAAAAATTAAACTTTTTCTTAATACTCCAAGACGATTAGAGCAGAAGTTGTGCAAAATTTTAAAGGCAGAAAAATTAATATGATTA